TTGAAGGCTGAGACAATAGTTTAAAACAGTGGTGTCTCGACATTTTTTATATTCATTAATTCAGTTTTAAATACTAGACTTTTTGCCAGCACTCCAGAAGGGATTGAAGTATCCTTAATGGGATTAAGAAACAACGCTGGCTAAACCAAAGTCATTATAACACAGTCATTTTTACAGTTCTAACCATGTCTCAGAATGTCCGTAAACAGCACGCCTATTCATTGTGCCCTCGCTCAGCACCGTGTTCCTGAGCAGAGCCGCATGCTGCCCCACCAGCAGTCTCTGATGTACCTCTAAGACAGAGTCCTCGAATACTTCAGGACGCAGCTCACTCCTGTTGCTGGCTGGACTAGGCACCACGTTTTCTGCCTCTTACCCCTTACTGGTGGCAAGTCCCATCACTTCTAAATGCATCTCCTGATAGACTCAGCTTAATATTTCATCAACGCCCATCCCCACCACAGTACGCATATGCACTGGTGGCCAAGCCATATTTCAGGAGTCAGCAGACTTTTTCTGTAAAGAGCCAGATAGTAAATATTTTTTACTTCGCAGCACGATTGGTCCCAAACTTTCAGGGCAGCTTGTACAACCAAAGACAAAAGTTCATCTTATCCCATGCAGAAAGATTTCTCTGTTTACCCGCAGTCACCTAAGCCATGAAAGTGCCCTGTCCCGACTCTCAGCATGAGCAGAAAATCTGCACGCTCTAGCACCCTACCTTCTCCAACAGGAAGGGGCAAGCAAAGATGCTTGTTATTGTTGGCACTCAGGATTTAAAGCTGGAACGAATACCAAGAACCAGGCAGACAGGAAAGAACTCAGGATAAAGAGACGCATTCATTCCACATAATGTGAAACAGTAATAAAAGATCTACAGAAGTTTACAATAGCCGAAAATGCTGGATTGTCAAAGTGCTAAAGTACACACACACTTTTCCTGCCTAATAGTTAAACAAAGGATGTGGTAAATGCCAGAAGAACTAAGTACCCGTTGGAAGGCTGAAAGGGGGAAAATCATGACAGTTTTCAAAATTATTTTACATAATGGAAAGAATAACCACCTATCTAAATTTTATCAGGTGATGGTCTGTTTTGCAATGTTATTGATAAAAAAAGGCAATGAGCTCGTGCTAAACTATATATAGCTGAGGAGTTAGAAACCAGTCTCTCTCATTTGTAAAGACAAATAGTGTATCACTAGTAGGACTGAGGCAGGGCATCAGCAAGAGGCAGACAGAGCAGACAAGAATAAAGATTCAGAGGATCGCTTTTGAATCAGATGTGGGGTATCCTACAGATTAACAGGGGTCACTCTAAGGACTGACTGCAGTCCATCTGTCAGTCCTTAAACCAGCTTTCTGTCTACAGTGGCAGAGGTGAACACTAACCAATAGTGAAGTCTTCTATCCTTGAAATTTCCAGTTCAGGTTTGATTTGTAATATTGTATTTCGTAGTTCATGTGAAAAGAACTGTTGATGGCAATCTCAGTTAATCAGGATTTGTTATGTGAAATCTATCCAGAACTTATATGAGGCAATTAACAGAAAAAGGCTATAACCTTCACTCTATGCAGTCATACACGTTGTCCTAAATGTTTGGTGGTCCTATGTGTCTGACCATTTCCCTGTCCATGTCTCAGGCTGGCTTAGCTCCTCCATTCAATACATTACAGTATTTTCTCTCTCCGAGTGTTGTTACATTAGAAATCTCCACTTAAGGGTGAGAATTATACGCTTTGTTTTTGGCTCCTCCATGCAGGTATACCTAGGAGATGCTTAGAAGGGACAGAAAGGAGGCTGCATGAGTTAAAGCTTAACTTTTTTTTTTTTTTTATAAGCACAAGTGAGCAATCACTGGCCTCCTCCGTGAGCATAAGGAAGTAAGGAACAGAGCTTTGTAAAGAGCAAATTGTGTCAGACAATTTAATTTCCTCCTATGACAGAGTGACGGTCCAAGATGATAAAGAAGAAGAAATAGATATTATCTATATGGGCTCTAGAAAGGCTTTTGATTTCATCCAACATGACATCCTCATCAATAAATTAGGAAGGTCTGGTCCAGATCATGGCGCAGTTGGGTGAAAGCCCCCCTTGACAGAAAGGCTTTGCTACAAGTGGGAGCTGTATGTCCTTCTGGGTTTAGCACCCCCACCTTGGCATTCTGTTTGGAGGAGCATAGGGTGCCACCAGGAATACTTGTGAAAACCAGACAATATGTCAAAGCAGTGATAAGGGTAAATATGTCCTTAAAAGTGGTGGAACCAGACCCAAGAAAAAGGAAGGTTAAATTAAATCAACATATAGCATGAAAACACTTGGGCCTGAGAAGGAAAAGAAACGTAAGGCAAGAATGATGCTGCTGTTACCATTTCAGAGCATGTGAGGATCTAGACTCCCCGAATTCTAGAGCTAACAGGACCTTTCGCGTCCAACTGCCCACCTTCCTCATTTTGCAGAAGGTGGCCAGCCTGAGAGAAGTGACGTGCTCAAGGCTACACAGCTGGTTAGTTGCAGGACTGAGACTAGAACAGCTCGTCAGTATCCTTTTTACTTCAAACTGTCACTGTTGACCATATATGTATATGGGCTTCTTTATACATTTACTTTATACATATATATGGGTTCTTAGGGCATTTTTTACATATCCTATTGCTCACCCATTTCAAGCCTATGATTCAATGATTTTTTGAGTAAATTTGCCAGGTTGGGCAACCATCCCCATAAATCAGCTTGAGAACATTTCCATTACCCCACTGAGTCTCCTGGTGGCATCGAGTGTTAGTTCCCGTCACCAGCTATCTCCCAGCCCTAGGCAACCACGACAGTTCTAAGTCCTTTGGTGTGATTCTAGACCGGGTCTAGAAGAAAGACTTTCTGTCTCTGTGGATTTGCCTTTTCTGGACGTTTCATGTAACGGAATCATACAGTAGATGGTCTCGTGTGTCTGGCTTCTGTCAACTTCTCATAATGTTTTTGCAGTTCATCCATGCTGGAGCATGTATCAGTAATTTGTCCTCTTTGCTTGCCAAAAGGTACTCCATTATATGGGCACATTGCATTTTGTTTATTCACCAGCTGGTGGACGGTCGGGTTGTTTCTACTGAGGCCATTATGAATAATGTGGCTAATAACATTCATGTTTCTCTGTTTACTTTTTTAAATTCAGTAACTTTTCCCCCTCGAATGGAGGCTAAATTTTCCATCAGATGTGTCCTCTTCCCCTACTCTTTTTCCCTCCCGATCCGGACAGTAGAGTTCCCCCAGATGGCAACCAAAGTTGCTATTAATGTTCTAATAAATAGCCTCGGGGGATTCAATAGTCCAGAGAAGAAAAGGCTTGCTAATCTAATAAGAGTCTTTTATTCTAGGATGGCTTATGAGAAACTGTTAGCCAAATGCCCTCCATCTTCATAGAAAATAAATGAGAGGAATTGGATTTAAACCTCAGGGAAAACCACTTCAGCTGGGCATGAGGAGGCGTGTTTTATGTGGTGGTGGTTGCTATCAAGTTAATTTGCAATATTATAAAAACAAAGCCCATGTAATTTCCTCTGAGAGAAGCTCATATGAATGGGTTTACATCTGTCTGAGGCCAGATGGCCCTGTGATCCCCTTAAAGGAAGACAGTCCTTTTGTGGCGCTTTCTTCTGTGTGGTGAAGGAAGACGTTTGGCCTTTGGTGTTCACAGAGGCCATTTCATTGTGCCCAGGAGACTAGTTATTGGAGTCATTGTGTCATAAAACCAGTGGTTGGAAAGTTTTACACAAACCCCTGGGCGTGGCAGAAGGAGACGTTGCTCCCATGCCCTGAACAGAGCAGTGTCCCCAGCTACTGCTCTCTCCCAAACAATAGCTAGAACAGTCGTTCAGTTCTGGAAATTGTACAACATAATTTCACATTTCATCTCCTTTTGACTTCATATTTGAGCCTGGGTAGTCCCACTGACAGACCGATCGTCATGTGGCAGTTCAAAGCCCCTTCCAGTCTGAGTCTGTTCTGCCGATCTGCCTTTCTCTGCTGTCATGCCCAGCAATGGCCCATCATCACATTGGGCTGTCTCTTAAAGACCACACATCCTTTAGCGCCTCTGTATTTTTACTGTGCTGTCCCTTCACGTCCCTTATCTGTTCGGAGGACTCTGGCTTGGCCTGTAGTCAGGCCTGCACATTATCTCTTATGTAGGTCAATGTTCTCCTTGGCAGAATTCATCGCTCCCCTTTTGGGCACCCACAGTGCTTGATGATATAGCATACTACCTTTCCTCAGTAGCTTACCTTCCCTGAGTTTTTCTTTCCTTATCACACATACTTTGTCTTTCAGAGGACTTCTATGAAACTTAAATGCCAAAGAATACTATACACAAATGTAATAGTTTAGTATTAATAGTAGAAATGTGAGAGACGCCTGGGTGGCTCAGTCGGTTAAGCGTCTGCCTTCAGCTCAGGTCATGATCCCAGGGTCCTGGGATCAAGTCTCATGTCAGGCTCCCTGCTCAGTGGGGAGCCCGCCTCTCCCTCTGCCTGCTCCCCCTGCTTGTGCTCTTTCTCTTTCTCTCTGACAAGTGGATGGATAAAATCTCAAAAAAAAAAAAATATAGAAATGTGAATATAGACATCAGGTTATAATTACAACTAATTTTCGATGGGTGTTCTCAATCCTTGAGCACAGCAATCCTGATGTATTCACCTTTGTCTCCTAAATACTGAATCCAAGTTCTGATACCTAACAAATGAGATTGAATCATTATGAAGTAGGCATAATGAGATATTACCACATCATACCCATTAGGATGGTCACAGTCAGGGAGGGAGAGAGAGGGAGGGAGGGAGGGAGAGAGAAAAGGACGGAAGGGAGGGGGGAGGGAGGGAAGGGAGGGAGAGAGGGAAGGAAGGAAGGAAGGAAGGAAGGAAGGAAGGAAGGGAGGGAGGGAGGGAGGGAGGGAGGGAGGGAGTGTTGGCCATGCTATAGAGAAATTGGAACCCCTGTGCACTGTTGGTAGAAATATAAAATAGTATATCTACTGTGGAAAACAGTATGGTGGTTCTTCAAAAAATTAAAAACCAAATTACTGGGGCACCTGGGAGGCTCAGTCATTGAGCGTCTGCCTTCGGCTCAGGTCATGGTCCCAGGGTCCTGGGATCAAGCCCCACTTTGGGCTCCCTACTTCACAGGAGGCCTGCTTCTCCCTCTCCCACTCCCCCTGCTTGTGTTCCCTCTCTCACTGTGTCTCTCTCTGTCAAATAAATAAATAAAATCTTTAAAAAATAGATAAATAAATAAAAATAAAAACCAAATTACTATATGACCTGGCAGTTCTGGTAGAAGCAACCTAAGCATCCACCAACGGACAAGTGGATAAACCAAATGTCTCTTATACATACAGTGGAATATTATTTAGCTTTGAAAAAGGAAATAAATCCCAACACCTGCTATAACATGGATGGACCTTGAACACATTATCCTAGGTGAAATAAGCCCATCACAAAAGGACAAATCCTATGCGATTTCACGGATATGAGGTCCCTCAAGCAGTCAGATTCATAGAGACAGAAAGTGGAATGGAGGTTGCCAGGGCCTAGCGGGAGGAGGGAATGGGGAATTACTGTTTAACGGGGACAGAGCTTCAGTTTGGGAAGACGAAAAAGTTTCTGGGGGTGGACGGTGGTGGCAATTGCAAAATAATGTGAATGTACCTAATGCCACCGAACTGAACTCTTAAAAATTGTTATGAGGTTAAATCCCAGGTTATGTGTATTTTACCACAGTTTTTAGAAATTTTAATTCAAATTTTAAAAACAAGACACAAAGAAGTATATACTGTATTATTCCGTTTATTTACAGCGTGGTACTCAGCTGATGATATTCAATGTCAAGATAATGGTTACCCTTGGGAGGGAAGAGTAACTAGAAAGCAGGAGGAGGTTCTAGGGTATGGGAATATTCTATCTCTTGATCTGGCTGTTAGGATATAGGTGTGTACCGTGTGTGAACTTCTCTGAGCTCTCCAGTTGGGACTTGTACAGTTTCCTATGTGTCTGTTACACTCCAAAAATGATTCCAAAAAATGTAGATCCTTAGCCCGACAGCAGACTGTCGTGTCAGAATCTCTGAGGATGGGACCTGGGGATCCTGCATCATAAAACCCTCCCTTCCAAGTTTTTCTTAAGAGCATTGGATTTAGGGAATCTTTGCTAAAGGAAAGGGACTAGGGAAATATCCTCCCCATGCCCAGGAATCCCATTCTGCGCTAACAATAAATATTCCTTAGAAAAGAAATTCTTGATATCTTTGAGTCATTTAGCTTCTCCGGTTAGGAAAATGCATGTCATCTTTCAGGAGCTGAGAAATCGGTGATGTACAGAAATGTGTATTTTAATATATTACATTTTAAAATATTATTTCTTGTAATTCGTCATACACGCAATAACTCACGAATGTTTTATTGAGGCCCTCTAAAAACTGGCGGGTGCTAGGACCTAATGGAAGTCAGGCTTTCAGGAGGAGGGGACCGTGGGGCGTGGTGCCATTAAGCAGGTACAGAAAAGCCAGTTCTTCCACCTGTAAGCTAATGAGGCTCCATTTCAGCTCTCTCCACACCATCTCCAAGACATCAACAGCTTTTACACTTGCTTGTTAAACCAAAAGCATGTTTCTTGCAAAGGCTTTATTGGAAGGGGCCGATCGAGGCCTTGGAGAGGCTCTTGGAGGCCTTCTTGGAGGAGGCGGTCAGAGAAGAGGAGGAGGAGGGGGAGGAAGAAATATCGGAGGGATAGTTGGAGGAATTGTGAATTTCATCAGCGAGGCTGCAGGAGCTCAGTACACCCCAGAACCACCTCCCACTCAGCAGCATTTCACCAACGTGGAGGCCAATGAAAGGGAGGAAGTTCGTCGGTTTCGGCAACAGTTTGCCCAACTGGCGGGACCGGACATGGAGGTGGGTGCCACTGACCTAAGGAATATTCTCAACAAAGTCCTTTCTAAGCACAAGGACCTGAAGACTGACGGCTTTAGCCTTGACACCTGCCGGAGCATTGTGTCTGTGATGGACAGTGACACGACTGGCAAGCTGGGCTTCGAAGAATTTAAGTACCTCTGGAACAACATCAAGAAGTGGCAGTGCGTTTATAAGCAATATGACAGGGAGCGGTCTGGGTCCCTGGGAAGTTCTCAGCTGCTCGGGGCTCTGCAGGCAGCGGGTTTCCAGCTAAATGAACAACTTTACCAAATGATCATCCGCCGATATGCCGATGAGGATGGCAGCATGGATTTCAACAATTTCATCAGCTGCCTGGTCCGCCTGGATGGCATGTTCCGTGCCTTCAGATCCCTGGATAGAGATGCAGATGGCCTTGTTCAAGTGTCCCTCCAGGAATGGCTGCAGCTGACCATGTATTCCTGAAGCCAGCGCCCTCCCTGAGGACAGGACTCCTGAAAGCCTCGCCACGCAGTCCTCACTATGGCTGATACCCAGAGCTGTCATTTCCGGCGAGCTCGTACACCTCCCTGCATGCTTCTGAGCTGGGGCTGCCTTTTAGCATCTAATTAAAACAGATTTTTTTTTTTAAATGAAAAATGTTCTGAGTGGTTTGTATGTCAGCTCTTTGAGACACTGGATGTGTATGAACATATATATGTGATGGGGGGTGCATGGGGCAGAGCCTCCGTGGAGTAGATTTTAATAGTGCATTGCTTATTTGGTGAGTGAATTCCAAAGAATAGGAAATTTGTTGTTATTGAGAATGAAATCTTGAAAAAACCCTGGAAAGCCCTCAAGAGATCTATTTTTCCCTTTAAAAAGGTGAGGAGGAGGGAAGTTCAGAATCTGTTTTTCTCTTAATTTCACATCTGGTCTTTCCATTATATAAAAAGAAAGAAAGAGAGAGAGAGAGAGAGAGAGAGAGAGAGAGAGAGAGAGAGAGAGAAGAAAGAAAGAAAGAAAGAAAGAAAGAAAGAAAGAAAGAAAGAAAGAGAAGGAAAGAAAAAGAAAGAAAGAGAAAGAAAGAAAGGAAAGAAAGAAAGGAAGGAAGGAAAGAAGGAAAGAAAAAGAAAAAAAGAAAGAAAGGGAGGAAAGAAGGAAGGAAGGAAGGAAGAAAAAGAAAAGAAAGAAAGAAAGTGTTTTCCTGGAAACCTATTTAACTGTATAGAAACAGGTTCAGAAATGAGAAAAGAAGCAATTTCACGTAAGGGAAGTATATATATATGTTTTTAATGGTAGAGCAACGGTCTAAAATTCCAGAATTCTTTAGTCCTGTTTCTCTAGTCAAATAAGCATGCAGCAAATTTATTTTGTTTTGATATATCTGTAAAGAGGGTCAGGGTATTGGGGAATGAAGGGTGGGCCCGTAGTCCAAAATGTCACTCTCAATCATTCTTACATGTGCTTCATACAAAATCAGGCATGCCCAGTGCATGTTGGCCGGCTCTTGTCATGTCTTGCCCTGCCTCAGAGCTAGGAATGTTGTGTTGTTGTTGTTCCTTTTGGAAAACTGCAGACAGAGGAAATGTAAGCAAAGAAGGGGGGAAAAAAGGGAAAAGCACACAGTCATCAGTTATTTGGTATATAAAGGAATATAGAGATATATAAAGATATATAAATATTGTTGACTGTTACAGTGGTTGTCAGTCCAGACTGCGATTCAGAATCACAGGGAGAGCTCCTTAGGAATATTGACAACCGAGTCCCACTCCAAATGTGTTAAAGAAGAATCTTTAGAGACGGGGCCTGGAAATGAGCATTTTTAAAGCTCCCCAGGTAATTCCAATAAGCAGCCAAGGTCACCAGCCAGGGCAGTCGACCCTTTCTTGTGTATGGCCCGTGGTTTGGCTCTATCGGGCAGAATCCAGAATCCTGCAGGAAGAAGACTCAGCCAGAAGGGCTGCATATGCAAGCGCTCAGTCTCCCCAGACCTGCCCCCGGCCTGCTATTTAATTGGTTCCCATCCCTCCTGCTTCTCTCTCAGTGCATTCCCTCTCCCTCCAAGGGCTACTTTAGGGGGTCCTCCCGAGTTTGAAGATAAATTCTTCCTTCCTCTTTTGACTCATTTAGAGGAAAGTTTAACTATGGAACTGGTCTAACTCTCCTGTTAACAGCCCACAGCTGTGGGTGAGAAATCCCCAGTGAAAATTAGGAGAGGTTGGTGTTTGGCCTCTGCGCTCACCATCGTCACCATCATATATTTATGAAACACCATGTGCGTATAATTCTGCACGGAGCCAAGCATAGAGACCACATCTGCCTTCCTCTAGGGACCTGTAAATGTAAGCTTGCTCTGGTGGGCTTCTTAGCCAGGTATGGTCATATCAGAATGAGGCTCCTGCTAGCAACCACACATTAATATCAGGATCCCATTTTAGAATCAGCCCATTCATATGTCAGGCATGAGCGTAGGCATCTAGCCAAGAAAGGGGAAAGCAGCAAAGATACCTTTTAAGGTCTCAGAATATTAGGTTTATTATTCCACAGGATGGTTGTAGAAAGGGCAACCGAGCCTTACCCTTGTTTTTGTCAGTTCATTCTAAATATTTATGAAAGTCAAGATGGTCACCTCATGCTGGGGTGGTAGTAAGTATTTTTCTTGCTCCTCGGGTCAAAAGATTATCTGCTCTTACGATTCTCTTCCTGCCCGCATAGGGCAAAACATCCTGAAGTTACCTACATGTCTCTTCTGTTCTCTTCTGAATTTGTATAAAATTTGTACAGGTAACCCCAGTCACTAGTGGAGACACTAGAAAATCCAGTCTAAACTCTGGACTTTGTTAAGTACTCAAAACTTTGGCATTGCGTAGAACCGAGAGCCTGACGAATGATTGAATTTCTTAATTTTTATTCAATAGTTGACATTTTAAAGGCACATTTTCAGTGGAAGAGGGAGTATTTACCTGATGATTTTTTTTTTTTTTTGCCATTTCTACATGGAAGCCTCCTTATAGGCTGAGACAAAGGTCTTTGATTCATATCATTCCATCCCATGATTTTTCAATTTCTAACATTAAGCAATACAATTTATGTACTAAGTTGAAAATTATACTCAGTGATTTTAAAAAGCATGTGAAGTTGTACCACCTACATTTTTAAATTTCAAAATATCCCACATGATTTTGAAAAACACCTTCATCTTAATATAATCCACTGGATTCTGTAAACTGTAACAGAAGGAAAAAGAGCGTAGGTCTGTACTTAACGCACGTATGCTCTGTACCTAAGAAAAGCAGACCTCTAAGAATATTCAAAATGTGTACATCATCTTAAAGTTCACATTTTAAATATCTTGAGTACTAGTTCATGTGTTTTTAAGAACTGATTTTTTTTTAAAGTTAGAGATTTCATCAGTAATATTACACAACTAACCCATACTGGAGCCTTAAAAAATATTCACAGATGCACCTGCAGGGCCCTGATATTTAACATGTCTATTGATCTTGAGGTGCTTTAAGAATTACTTCTTAAAAGTGTCTGTGTTTAATGCTAAGTGGGTTAAAGCAATTTAATTCCAAGCAAATTGGTAATACAATTATGTATGTGGGTAGAAATAGGCTCTTAATAAGAATATTCGAGTAAACAGAATACCTCTTCCCAGACTCCTCTGGAAAACTGAGAATTAACTGTATTTTAACAATAGTACTCCTTTGGATTTGTAAAGTTATCCTCAAAGACTCAAAGCCTTTTTCTGTTGGCTGCTGCCTAGTAGGTTCTGTTTTTATGTAAACATTTCTAAATTGTTTTGATGGCATTGATTATCTCTCATTTGCAGGGATGATATCAATTATAACACACCAAAGACAATATAGTCCTTATCCTTGGGAGTTTTCCATCTCAAAATGTATTCAGAACCACATCCTTAAATGTTGCCGGACTTTAAAGGTTGTAAAACGTATCTGATTCAGTAGGGATAAAAATGTTGACTAAATCCGACTAGGAAAAGCCTCAGGAAACGGCTACCTGAGAATCAGACACAGGAACACCACCATTTGTTCCTTCTGGAATTTTAAATGGACCGTGTCTAAACATGTGGTCTGGCTTCCCACTGGTCCAAGAAGCCAGTGTGGGGATGGCAAGGCGCTGGGACGCCGGGACATCATGGTGACCCCTAGCCTTTACTTCCATGCTTTTCTGATCCTGCTGACCACCAGGGAAGGGACGGGGCCCACCATCTCAGGTTTCAGCCAGGCTCAGTCACCCCTTCTCCTTGCAGTGACCCAATACAAATCCATAGTTCCTACTCTGGGCTATCCTGGCCTCCAGATTAGGACAGATTATGGAGGGATTAGAGTCTCCAGAAAGCTGGGCTCCTCCTTTGAAATGTGGCCCTGAAATATTTCCAAGTCTAGATTTTTTTTTAAGTTTATAATTCTTCCTGAGAAGTTCAATAGGTTTTTAAAGAAAAGAAACACAGATTTGAAGGATAATTTTTATCATGGAATTTATTTGAAATTAAAAAACTAAAGAAGTGTGTTTTGTTGTATACTTTGTAATTGTCTGCTTTTGAATTTATTAAGCTACTTTAATTTGAATGATTTAGAGTCCAATTACCTGAATTTTCATTGGAGTTAGTGGTAATAGCAAGTTTTGTGACCTCAAGTAAAGCTTATGTCTCATTATTTTATTTAAAATCAATTAACATAGTGGCGCCTGGGTGGCTCAGTCGTTAAGCGTCTGCCTTCGGCTCAGGTCATGATCCCAGGGTCCTGGGATCAAGCCCTGCATTGGGCTCCCTGCTCAGCAGGAAGTCTGCTCCTTCCTTTCTCACTCCCCCTGCTGTGTTCCCTCTCTCGCTGTCTCTCTCTCTCTAATAAATAAATAAAATCTTAAAAAAATAAAATAAATTAACATATAGTGTATTATTAGTTTCAAAAGTAGCGTTTAGTCATCAGTTACATATAACACTCTATGCTCATTACATCACATGCCCTCCTTAATGCTCATCACCCAATTACCCCATACCCCTTCCCACACCCCCTCCGGCAGCCCTCAGTTTGTTCCCTATAGTTAAGAGTCTCTTATGGTTTGTCTCCCTCTCTGATTTCATCTTGTTCTATTTTTCTCTACCTTCCCCTGTGTTCATCTGTTTTGTTTCTTAAATTCCACATATATGTATATACATACACACCACATCTTCCTTATCCATTAATCTGCCAATGGACATCTGGGCTCTTCCCATAGTTAGGCTATTGTGGACATTGCTGCTACAAACATTGGGGTGCAGGTGCCCCTTCAGATCACTATGTTTGTATCCTTCGGATTAATACCTAGCAGTGCAATTGCTGGGTCATAGGGTTCTCATTTTTTTTATTAGTCAAAATGAATTAGTTGAATGGATTATTTCTAAGATTCCTTACAGTTCAAAGTTTTATTATTCTGAATTTGGAACCTTAACAATGTGTTATTTTATTGATCCAATAATAAAATACCTGAGAATAATTTCCATGCTGCTTTTCTCCCCTTCACATTACTAAGATGAAAACTTACATAAAATTTCTCATGTGATTATCAAGGGTCTGCTTCTTTTTGTCAGCCAAAACCATTCAGAGATAAGACTATTAATGAATATTAGAGGTCCAGAATATTACCTTGTTTTGTGAATAGTGGTAACATGAAGGGTCCTTTACATTTATCTTTCTCCATCTGCAAAATGAGTTATGATGCTTGACCTCTATTATACATAGAGTTCAGTGGTATAGATAAAAATTGGATGCCTCACAATAAAGAGACAACATAAATTCAAAAGAGTATTTCCAGTCATACAATCTATGATTATACCTTCATTGTCCATTGACCATTCTTCTATCTCTTCTTCAGACCTTCCATTCAAGACTTCTGTGTTGCTTCATAGAGCAAGCCAATTGAAGAACAAATGTACCTACAGTGAGCAATAGGTCTATGGTTCAGTAAGCTGCTCAGCCTCTAAGGCTAACGAACAACGGCCCTCTATGGTGTGTAAGGAAATGAATGATGGTGACACAAGAAGGAAATGATGTCACTTAGAACTCCACCATCTCTGGGGCGCCTGGGTGGCTCAGTCAGTTAAGCGGCTACCTTCAGCTCAGGTCATGATCCCACAGTCCTGGGATCGAGTCCCGCATCCGGCTCCTTGCTCAGCAGGGAGCCTGCTTCTC